GCCCACCCCCCCAAAAAAGAAGCAACAGACGAAATGCATGGGCATGACTGTGCTCCAATACACTTTACTCAAAAGAAGAAAACAGGGGCAGTAAGAACAAGAATAATGTACATAAAACATGGCTTTATATGCCACGCCCTGTGCCAAGGGCTGTAATACACCCGCCTCGTTAGATCAGCACAGCTAGCCTCTGAAGGAAGCACTACTATCATTTTCCCCTTTTCACAGATGATGAAGCTACCCAGAGAGAAGTTATATAACCTGCCTGACAGTAAGTGGGAGACAGGATTCAAGCCCAGGTCTTGCTATCAAGAAATAGCAAAAACCCGTATGTTAAAAAAGTAGACATTTTAAGTTATCACGTCAAGAACTCAGCCCAAGAACATCAATGTGGATAACAACTGTTCATATGTATTAGAAACATAAAGATGCTGATCTCCTCAGTTGGCAAAGTATCTCTTCACCCAAGTTCAGCAGGTGGATAACACCAGCCCTTCTCACATCCTGCTGGGGCTCAGGGATCGCTACAGTCCATCCTCTGAGATGTCATCAGCTACTCACAGCAATTTTATAATCGAGGGAAAAGCAGAAAGAAGGCTGAAGCATGCTCTGCTCCAAATATCCAGTTAACTTAGACGCCACAGTACTTATCACACATTACCATAACTATCACAAATTATTTCTGATGATTTAGACATTATCAGAAAATAAACATTGAATTGATATACTGTGTATTTCCAACAGTCTCTGTCATCATCACATTTTTATTAATTTCACCTTCATCTGAATAAACAAGCTGTTTTAAGCCCACCATCAAAAATATATGATATCTTTGTAAATTGTTTAAATATTCAAATTAAATAAATTGTAGCTGAACTGAAAAAAAAAAAAGTGTGATAAACCACAAGCTGGGACACAGTCTCAGTCCCAGCAGCTCCTCCCTGAGGCCACCCACCTCCAGGACAGCTAACGCCCACCCTCTCCCAGACGTCCACGCTGGGGCACTCACACAGCTGTGCACACCCTGTTCCCTCTGCCTGGAAATCCTCCCCAATTAGTGGATACACTGGGGCCCTGCGCACACCCCAACCGCTCTGTGCACTGAGGGCCAGAGACCTCACCTAACCCTGGGGCATCATGTCCCCTGTCCACTGGCACCAATTGCTATATGAGGGACATGCTCTGAACCCTAAACCAAACAAATTATATATTTTTAAAGGTGTGACTTTCAAAGGCAATTGACTATCTGAACACTGGATATTTGATGATACTAAGGAATTATTGTTAATCTTTTGGTATAATAAAGATGTAGCTTATATAAATATATTGATGCGCAACATGTTATCTGGGGGTTGCTTCACAGTAACCCAGGATGGGGGGATAAGTGGGTAGGAGCATAGAGGAAACGTGATTGGCCATTAGCTGGGAACTGCTGAGGCTGACTGACGGCCACATGGGGTTCACTGCACCCTCCTCTCTATTTGTGTCTATTTTCCACAGAAAATAGAACCGTGAAAGCAGGTGAGCGAGTCAGATACACAACAGGAAGGACAACCGGATAGTGACGAGTCAGCTCATGAAATAAATTTTCACTTTTATCTGCTTAAACATTATCTGGAATAGAATTTGGAATTAACAGATATCATTACAATAAAAAATGCAGTAAAAAGTCATTAAACGCGTTCGAGATAAACCGAACTGAAACACACAGAAGTGAATTGATACGCATTTCTTTCATGCCGTCCATTATGAAGGCAGGTAAATAAAACCGTCAAATTCCATCTGAAAGGGCATGACCCTGAAATGATAAGTTTAGATCCTGGCTATTCCGTGACTCAGCACAAAAGCAGTCACTAAAACCTGTGGAATGCTGCGTGTTACATGTATGACCTCAATTAACTCTCCCCAAAGTCCAGGGACACCGATCTCCTTACCGTATGTGTGCAGTTAGAGATTCGGGAACTAAAACTGGTAGTTGATCCCACCTGGACGCACGCCGAGCCAGCTGGTGCCACGGCCTAAATAAAAAGGCTTCCTTCCAAAGCAGCGCTCTGGGGGGCTGGTATCGCCACCACCCTGCGTCCTGCTATAGAGCTGGCAAAGCCAAGTGCACTTGGGCAAAAAGTCCTGGCCCTGGTGTACATTTCCAATCGCCTGACGACTAACACGTGTTACACCGCTGGGCTGCCCTCCTGCTGGTCACCGCTCTGCATGAAGTTTTGCACGCTTCCCCCAAGATGCCTGTGACTCATGACACGAGTGGCAGGCCAGTCTGGTCAACACGCACCCCCGTGAGGCTGTGTCCTTCCTGGGGATAAGGCTGTGCAAGAATCAAACTCATCCTCTAGAGCCTGCTGAACACGATGACCAAATCGGCAGCCATCTTTTTAGACTGTCATGAAAAACACAGCCAAACATAAAACTATCAACTGACAAATTTTAAAAAACATAATCGCTAGTAAAACCCACAATTTCAAAATTTCTTTTCACGGGACAAAGCTTATATTGAACCTATAAATAGAAAGGAGGAAGATAAGGAAGCCCCAAACTAAACTAATGTAAAAGTCAAACTCATTTTTAGGTAGCAGCGCATAAAAATAATTAGTCTGACTCGCCAAAGGAAGGAAACAGGATTCACAGCTTAAAAGGATGATCTCTTCCTTCAACTCTCCGAAAGGGGAAATAAAGAGGAAAAAAACACCCTCCAAGTTACCACTGACCTTCCCCAAGTCTGCAACCACATGGCTGTGTTTTAGACTGGGTGGAGTAGAGAGTAAATAAACACAGCTGCTATTTTTAGCACGCTTTTCCTGGACACTCTGAAATTTCCAAGTCACAAACTATTGCTTGTTATCATTTGAAGTAGATTTTTACTCAACGAATTCATAGAAGACATCTTAGAATCAGGAAGAGACATATATAAGCTCCTACATAAAGCTGACTTATTTTAGAAAATAATTTATTACACAGAATGTAGTATATGTTCATCAAATAAACTAGAAAGAATGCTTAAAATATTTTCCACTGAATGTACTCAAAAGAGTAAACCTTACTAAATTCTGTAGAATATTAATTACTGAAATTAATACAATAAATTCTTAAAACTCAAATTTTGCTACAGTTTTGAAAATGAACTCTTTTGCAAATTTGAACAGTACAACAAACCTAGACTGAAGATGTAAGCTACGCATTACCTAACATTACCTAACTTCTTTCCAAAACTTACATTCACAGTACAACCAATGGCTTCTTGAAGATGCAAGCTGTGTATCATCTAACGCAACCTTCTTTCCAAAATTTACATTCACAATACAACCAACTGTTTCTCTCAACTTTACTTAGGAATAATAGATTGGAAGTAAAAAGAACAAATTTATTTGGATATTCCACCTCGTCCATTATTTTAGAAACAGAATCAGGGCTAATTTATCCACTGGACAGTAGATACAATGCTTAAGACCCATACTCCTAAGAAATTCACAAAAAAAAAAAAGGTTTTATTTTAAAACTAGAAGGAATAAAAAGAAACCTTAACATGTTTTCATATATAACATGAATAGATTTGTCTTTATACCAACATAGTCGCGAAATATAATTTTAAAAGTTTTGTTTTTTTTTTCATGGAGACGTTCGTGTGTGCTCAGTTGTGTCCAACTCCTTTGCAGCCCCACGGACTGCAGCCTGTCAGACTCCCCTGTCCATGGAATTTTCCAGGCAATAATACTGGAGCAGGTTGCCATTTCCTCCTCCAGAGGATCTTCCCAACCCAGGGATCGAGCCCGCGTCTCTTGCATCTCCTGCATGGGCACGTGGGTTCTTCACCAGCTGAGCCCCCAGGGAAGCCCTTTCCGTGGAGGGAGAAGCCACACAAGGGAAACAGATGGGCTCACGTCAGTCAACATGCAGCCCAGCTACACACGCGCCTCTCTTGTCCCAGATGCTAGGACCTGGGCTGTGTTCCTCGGAGCAGAAGATGGTTGGCAGTGCCCTGGCTGGGCCCAGAAAGTCGTGGGCAACGATCACAACCATCCCTTCATTTGCAGGGACCCCCTCCCATCTCCATCAAAGACTGGGGCGGGGGTCAGAACTAACAGGTTCCCATACACTCACTGCCTGTACTCTGACGCGGCTTAGACCAATAAGCAGAGCCGCAACAGCAGTCTCACGCTGAATCAATGTTTTTTTCTTATTTCCGATGCCTCTGAAAACACTGCATACAACTGATGGCATCATTGGAAATTCACTTTCTTCACATAGAAGACTTTTTAAAATTCTGTAAAGAATAATACTCTCATTTTAAATACAAAATTAATGGGTTGCTTTCACAAAAATGGAAATAAATCTAAATAGTGCTTGTACTCTTGCCTGGAAAATCCCATGGAGGGAGGAGTCTGGTGGGCTGCAGTCCATGGGGTCGCTAAGAGTTGGACACGACTGAGCGACTTCACTTTCCCTTTTCACTTTCATGCACTAGAGAAGGAAATGGCAGCCCACTCCAGTGTTCTTGCCTGGAGAATCACAGGGACGGGGGAGCCTGGTGGGCTGCCGTCTGTGGGGAAGCACAGAGTCGGACACGACTGAAGCGACTTAGCAGCAGCAGCAGCAGTGCTTGTAAAACAGGAAGGACACCACATTCTAAAAGAAAATTCCAGAAAAAAGGCAGCTCCTTTGCTTTGATACTGCAGTTGAAATGGAGTCCTGTCCTCCGACCGTCAACCTGCCGACTCCTAGCCTCCGTTTGATGATAGGAGGCGCCTGGTGCCCGCGGGCCCTCAGCCCAGCAGGCCAGGAGCCGTGGGGGCGAAGGGGCGAGGAGCCCCCACCTCTCTCCCGGCCCAGGGCCACGCACACACAGCACGGGCCATGCTGTCCCTGCCATGAACCAGAGGGCTCGGTCCGCACGTCCCGTAAAACCAAAGCAACCTTCAGAAGCATCCCGGGGAGCTTCCTGGAGTCTGCGCGCTCCCGCGTGCCAAGAGCCTGCCCCAGCGGCGTCCGGGATGCGGGCGGCCGGCGGCATCCAAAGCCCGCAACCGGGGAACGGGCCTCAGTCCGGGGCGGGTCCCCACCAAGCACGCCGGCTCACCAGGAAAGCCCTCCAGTGGGAACAGGCGCCACCCCTTTTCCCACTAAACGTGCGTCCCGACACGCGCACACACTGCTCACACTGGCCCTCCGTGCTGACCACGGGAACTCTGCAGTCTTCGCTCAGGACCTCTGAAAAGGTTAGCAGGGAAAGGCAGGGCCTGGCTCGGCCGAGCCCACAGCTCCTCAGGCCTCCGGTGTGGGTCCGGAGCCCCGGCCGGCAGGCTCTGACAAAGCCTGGCGGGGCCAGAGAGAGACCTGCCGGCTCCAGGACATGGGGGACCGTCCTCCCCAGAGGCCAGGCCGGACCAGCTCCCCACGCCCGGGCGCTGCCCCCTTCACGGGGGCTGGCGGGCTCCCCGTCCCGGTTCTGCACCACAGAGGCCTCCGTGGCCACAGCACTCTCCGAAAAGCCATCACCAAGGACGAATTCTCTGATGCTCCACGCACACCTAAGGTGCACACCTAGGGTGGCCGGGGTGAAGGATGCTTGCTTGAGGGCTCACTCAGGCGCAGCCGGAAGAGACCCGTCCTACCAAAGCCTGCTGCCAAATTCTAGAAACACCAGCGGCCTGCGGACAGAGGCGGCCACAGGTCCCGCCGGGACGGCGCCCCGCACCCAAGCCTACCGCACCGACTCTGCGCGCTGAGTAGCCCTGCGCAGCCCGCGGGCCTGCACGGAGGCGGGGAGGCCCCGCACGCCGGAACCGGCGCCCCCTGCGTCCCAAACCAGCAGGAGAGGAAGCCGGGGAGGGCCGCACACCGGCTGCCCTCGGCGTCTTCCAGCGTCAGAGAAGGCAGGCGCCGAGCATCCCACCGCGAGCCGCGTCTGTCAAGGGCGCCCGAGGCAGCTCCGAACCTGGAGGCCCCTGCAGGGTTCGCCCAGCCCAGGCAGAACGCCCCACCTGACACTGTCCGGTGGCAGCACGGTCTAGTGGTATCTTTGACACACACACACAAAATAGTAGTAATAATTCCTTTCACAGAAGCAAGTTTCAGTGAGAGAGAAATCCATGAGATGACGGCACATCATGGATCACAGAACGAGAACTGCTGTCCTCATCTAAAGACAGAATCCAAACTGAAACCTTAAAGGAAAATAATTTCTGCCCGTAAATTCTCCTTTTCAAAATGCTTAAAATGCTTCTTCCTCTCTGGATCACGGATAGCCCCGGTCCAGACTTGTAACACCTTTCCTTCAGGAGACAAATGTCTCTGAGCCAGAAGCCAATTAAATTTTGCTTTGCCAACTTAAGTGAACCAAATGCCTGGCAAGTAGTGATAAAAGACTCTCAGAGATTAACTGGAGGTTGAGGGGAAAGGCAGATGAACCCTGAGATACCCAAACAATTCCCTCCAAACCAATTCAGAATGAAAATTAGAAAGCTATACTAAAGCCAAACCATTTTAATTCAATCAGCCTGTGTTCTCGCTATAGAAACCTTGCCGTTACTTAGCTTTAATAGTGATATATATATATCAGGAGGAGGGCACAGCTACCCACTCCAGTGTTCTTGCTTGGAGAATCCCATGGACAGAGGAGCCTGGGGCTTCAGTCCATGGGGATGCAAAGAGTTGGAACTGAGCAACTAAGCATATATCAGAACCAATCATCTCTTAAAAAAAAAAAATGCAAGCATTTTTTCTTAGGAAAGAAGAGCTTGCTATAACTTCTTTCCAACTCCTTAAAAAAAAAAAAACACTCTTTCATCCAGACTGACTCCTTGACCACAAAGGAAGGAGAATGGATGCGGGCACCACGTGCCAAGCTAAAGAGCTCCAGACGGGAGGTGTGGGCGGCCGTGGGGCGTGAGCCGCCGAGCGATGGGGCGATGGGGCGGTGGGGACAGGTGTCGAGACGACAGCTGTCTCCGGGGCTGGAGGGCAGGGGTGAGCCGGGGACGTCACGGGGAGGCCCCCGGCGACGCTGCGTGGCTGCGGGCAGGGTCGGGAGGAGGCCCAACGGGGCAGGAAGCCCAGCGCCCGCAGGCCCCGAGGACTCGCCAGGGAGGGCAAGGCCGGGGGTCGACGCCGAGGGGGGCCACAGGGCAGGGGCCACAGGCAGTCCGCCAGGGGGAGAGGGAGGGGCTCGGAACCCAGCGCGTCTACGTTACCATGGAGACAGACGCGCAGGAGCTGGAGTTAAAGACAACTACCCGAGGCTGGGACCTGGCGGCCGGTGCGGGGAGAAGGCAGCCCCCAGCACAGTGGAGGGGGGACCGGCTGGTGGGTGCGCCCCAAGACCGAGGCCGGGGGCATCCCTAAGAAGCACAGGGTAAGACACACTTCCAAGGACAGGGCGGCGAGGAGGCGAGAGTACAGCCACCCGCAGCTCGTCCTGCCAACACAGGCCCGTCGGTGGGCCTGCCGCCCGCCCAGAGCCGGCCGCAGAGGTGGGTGGTGGCAGGTGGGGTCGTCCCCCCAGCTCCAAGGCGGTCGGCCTGTGGCCTCGTCCCAGCGGCACACACAACCCCCCAGTCCTGCAGGGTCTCTGGTTGGGGGGCTTCCACGTGGTCCTGGAGGCAACAGGTGGCCTCAGAACAGCCAGACAAAATGCTATTACACCTTCTTGGGATGACTGGTAGGTCCCACTCAATTTAGTGCAGAAATATTTTTGCTAACTTCAAGGACGTCCAGATGCTCGACCTCATCACCAGAAGCAGGGAAGCGGTTGACTTATCTAAGCAGGATATGTGAGCAGGGCGCAGACAGGACATTCACGGCATTAAACGCGAGGCCCCTTCACAGCTGAAAGGGCGCTCATCAGTGTTTCCACCAGCTGGACAGTCCACCTCAGGGAGCAGCTTCCCGAAGAGCACCGTTCCAGGACCTCGTTCTGTTTAGAGCCCTGTTAATCCAGTAGGTGAGGAAGGCAGGGTCACCATCCCAGCTGACAGGCACTCAGCGTGTGCAGGTCCCCGGCGGCCTGCGGGGCGGGGGCCTGGGGCCAGAGCCCAGTCCTGCTGACGCTTCACGTGACCCGTGCGATCTTTGCACATGCGGGTCAACTCTTCCACCTGTTAAACAGGGACACAAGCGAGTTGAGAGTGCAAACTGAGGTGGTGTTAACAGTGCCTAGTGGAGACAAAAGACCTATGCAAATGTGAGGTGTTATGAGCTTACACAGGAACTTTCCTCTTTTGTTTTGTTTTTAATTATGAAGTACCATTACCACCGTTTTATGTAGCCGTAACATCTTGCTTTACGAGTTTTAAAGTTATTTCCAAACATGACGACAATCATGAAGTGAGGTTAACACACAGCTTTATTTCAAGGTATTGAGGATATAGTGAGATACAGAGAATTTCACTGATTTTCTTAAAAGTCAAAAATATGATCTAAAGTTCAGATTCGTTGTCTTCAATGGGATACTCCCTACGAGAATAAAATAAAGTGTAATTTGTAATTCCATCAGTGAAAAATTGTGTTGTTTTTTTGAATCTACTGAAAAACACTGAAGATATATAAATAACTGCATTTAAATGATTGCTACCATCTTATGAGGCTTCCTAAATTCTCTCTGAACTTTGTCCAGAAAAAAAATGGAGGTAGTTTTCTTTAGGATCACAGTCCCTGCTCGGGTCATAATGGACCTTTTCACAACTCTTGGAAGTAAGACCTCACCAGCTGTCCTGGGCATGACTCTGCCAACCAGCCCACCAGCCCTGAGCGCTGAAGGGGGGGTGAGGCGCCAAGTCTGGGGTCACACGTTTCCACTTGAAACAGTACACGAACCAAAGCCAGAGTGGAACACATCAAAAGTATGAAACCAAAACACGGTATGCAAATAAGGTGGAACTGGGAGTATTGAAAACAACACTGTAAGTTACAGACGATGAGAGGAGAGACTAAACGCGACCTTCGAAACGGGGTGTACAGCGCGCCATGTCACTCCAGTCACGTCCAACGCTGCGACCCTATGGGACTCTCTCCACGGGACTCTCCAGGCAAGAACACTGGAGGGGGTTGCCATGCCCTCCTCCAGGGGATCTTCCCGCCCCAGGGATCAAACCTGTGTGTCCCTCACATCTCCTGCACTGGCAGGTGGGTTCCTTGCCACTAGCGCTACCTGGGAAGTCCTTAAAATACAATAGAATCCTTCATTAGGATTTCTAGGATGGAGAGTGAATGGCATGTAAACTAACAGGAACAGCACAGACCTTTCTCAAGCAAAGAACTGAACCAAAACTGAGACAGCAACAAGTGAATTGTGTAGATAAAGGGATCCTCTCGAGATCCGTACAGGTTCTACTGACCACATCGGTCACTCGGAAAGTACTGACCCAGGCGTCCTCAACACCCCTAAGACGTCTGCCAACCAAGAATCCGCACCTTCCATGTGCAAAAGAGGGCACGGTGGAGTCATCTCGGGGCCTGGAACATCCCATCAGGCGGAGGCACGAACCCCAAACCAGAGCCCTGGGCTCCCCATCCGCAGCCCCCAGGCCCACAGACCGGCGCCCTGAGCACCAGAACTGGGGTCTCTGTCCTGGGTCTGAGCCTCTGCAGAGAAACCCAGGGAGCGCAGCCGCCCGCCTGCCTGAGGCTCTTCTGCTGATGGTGTGAAACAGGAGCCCCCGGCGACTCTGTTCAGATAAGGGAGACGAGCCCAAGCCGGGGCTCACAGTGCCCTCTGCCCATGACGTGGCTCCTACTGCCAGGCAGACAGATGCTGGGCTCTCGCGGTGCCCGCGCTGCCCTGGGCCCCACCAGAGTCTGCAGGCGCTGTCCACACAGCTGGCACTGTCTGTCTGCGGGCGCCATCTGCAGGGCTCCATGCTGCCCCAGTGGCCGCAGCCCCTAGCTGGGCAGCCCCGCCAGGATGGGGGAGTGCGTCACCCCGGCAGCCAGGGGCACAGAGCACGCGGAGCTGACCGCACCTCCCCTCACACCTCTCTTCTCCCCTCTGCCGCCCAGAAAGCACAGCCTCCTGGGAGGGTTTTGTCTGGGCACAGCCTTGGGGGCCCCTGGCTTGGGGCGGGGGGACAGGCCAGCCAGGACGCTGATCCTGCAAGCCCCCCGCCTCCCATCCCTGGCCTCACCATGGCTGGTGGGGCCTCCAGCCGGATGGCATCTTTTCAAACTGAGCTGCACAACCTTCCCGGTCTGCAGCCTGGTGAGAAAGAGGGTGGACGCATGCCTCTGGAGCATCACCTGCGGACCCCACGGACCCTGGGGCCCCAGGAATGGCAGGCCAGAGCGTCGCCAGGCCCCCCACCCCTGCCCCGGGTCAGGAGCTTGACCGCAGCCTGTGTCTTCGGTGACGGCTTCGTCTGCGCCACCCCCCTCCTCGCTTGAGCCTTGCTGTCTGGCCCAACCAGCAGCGAAGAGGACGCAGGATGAGCTCGCCGGGATCAGAGAGTGGCCACGCAGCAGGACGCTTCTCTACTGAGTGAGAGGCCAGCGGGGTCACCTGCCCACTTGCCTCGCGTTGGTCCACCTTCCTGCGTCTAAACCCCTGTGGATACCACTCATCAATGACAGGTATTCTTGGGGTGGGGGGGTGGAGGGGGGCAAAAGGGGCATTTAACGCTTTTAAAATACTCTTCAACACTTATTTGCTAGGCTTCCCTGATGACTCAGTGGTAAAGAATCTGCACCAATGCAGGGGACGTGGGCTCGGTTAGATCCCAGGTGCCGGGGAGCAGCCAAGCCCGTGCGCCCCAACTACTGAATCTGCGCTCTCGAGCCGGGGAGCCGCGACTACTGAACCCCCACGCGGCGACTACCGAAGCCCGTGGGCCCCGAGCCTGTGCTCCGCAGTGAGATAAGTCACCACAGTGAGCAGCCTGGGCCTGCAACAAGAGAAGTCACCCCACACTGCAACCAGAGCGGCCCCGCTCGCCAAAAGCGCTTGAGAAAAGCCCGCAGGCAGCGACAGAGACCCAGCACTGCCAGAAACAAATAAGGGAGATTTAAAAAAACAAAAAAAGCATACTTTGTCCCCTTACAGAGAAGATGGGTAAGATCTGGTTAATTACGCCGGAAGAAAGGAAACCCCTGCAATTCTTAGCGTGATAAATATTAGGGCGTTCTAAACTTTCACAGAAAGACTGTAGGCTTTTTTCCCCCAAAGAAGGTTATAGCTCATTTCCACTCTTCCTCCCATTTCCAAATGAGTAAATAAAGCTACGATCAGAGGTGTGCTAATTAGGAAGACATACACAGGTCCCAGCCACGGTCAGGAAGGCTCAAGGACACTTCTCTGCCGCAGACCGTGGACCCTCCAGAGGCGAGGGTCTCCAAAGACTCAGGCTTCTCACATTGCATCTCTTCCTCAGTGCCCACCAAGGGCAAGGGGACACAAGCTTCTCTTCTGGAATAGCCATGCACGTTAGTTTGGAAGAGAGAAAAGACTGACCTACACGGATGAGCGTGAAGGGCGGTGGTGGGCCGACAGAGCAGTAAAGTCCCAAAGAGAGCGCGTCATCATTCACGAAGACCACAGATCTGTTAACACTGACATCTTCACGTCACTGTTCTGCAGCCAACAGAGAGAGTTTGCAGATGTTTGGGGAGTTCAGTGGCCATTCCCCCTGACTGCAAGGAAAAGGCTACAGCCTTCAACAGGAGGCATTCACCCAAAGGTCACCCAGCCCCACTCTTGGCCCACCACCATGGGGTGCACTGAAGCGTCACCAGCAGAAACTACCCGCCAAGACAGACAGCTGTCTTCAGGACTCAGTGTACAATCTTCCAGGAGCAAACAGCATTTTTACTACGTCGCCCCCTGAGGTGGTTAAAGGAAACGTGAGGCCTCCTTTCAGCAAAGTTTGAAACGAGCCGTCACCTCTCTCTAGAAACAGTGACCATGCCTCAGTCAAATGAGTTCTTTCAAAAAACAGTCTTCCTGTGGGGGTTCTTCTTCCATCACGCAGAATGCCTGGGTACTCAGAGGTCATCTCTTTCGAGGGATGGCAAAGGGCCTAGAAATGGACCAGAAGACAGGAGCTGCACTGTGATGATCAGTCCAGGTAGATTGAGGCTCCAAGGAAGGAACCCTGGGCCTTTTTGGCACTGATGCAACCTATGCCTTTATCTGGATCCAAAGTACATTCTTAGGGTACAGTGATTAGCACGCAGAGCAGTCATTTTCACGTATAAGTTGGTTTTTCCCAGATTTGCCCTGACGAAGCAAAGTATCATCAGTGTGTTCTATATTCCTTCGGAAAAAGGCAGCTTGACTCCTTGAAAGAGAGGCTCCGCTGAGGCAGCTGAAGGCTGGACCCCTGCTCCCCACCAGCCACCTGTCACCTGCAGGACTCTGGGGCTGCTTGCTCGCTCGTACCTAACAGAGCCAAAGAGTCCCAGACCCAACACAGGAGAAAGGATCCAGCATTTCTTAACCCTGGCCACACTCTAAAATCTCCCAGGGTGCCTTAGGAAAACCCTGGGAATTCTGATTTAATTGGTTTGGAGTGCATCTGCACATTAGTATGTTTTAGAATCCTGGTTAATTCAGTGTCCTAAGAATTCCAGCGGCAACCATTTGAAGAGCTGGTGCTTTCCCGACCTGAAGAAACATTTCAATGGGACAAGATACTAATAAACGCCAGCAGAACCAAAACTCTGCTGACCACCTGTGACCCCAGGTAGGTTGTCCTTTGGTAGTCAACCCCAAACACTCGCTTTCGCCTATGACCTTGGATAACTGATTTCTGTTGGTTCACTGCTTCTGAGACCAAAAGTGCTCTCGAGAAAACGCTTACACGGATCTTACACGCAGCGATCACGGCAGTGCAGGAGGACATCCGTGACCAGCCGGCTGCCCCGCTTCCCCAGGCCCGGCTCCTGGTTTGTTCCCAACGCAGCTCGGGAAGGATCCCACCCGAGCGCTGTCTTTCAGCGGGCCCCCACCTGCCCTCCACAGCATCACGCAGCTCGGGCTTCCTCCAGGTCACGCCACAGCCTGAGTGACACTCTGCAGCCAAGAGCTGGTCTCCACGTTTATCGACAAGACAGCCAGAAACTATCTATCAAAGGCACCTTCCTAAACAGTGCAGGCTGAAGCAACCTGTAAGTATTTGACTTTGATCAATAGTCACAATTGTGCAAATCAACTTATTTGTTGATTTGCAGAAAATCAAGCCCCAGAAAAATTCAGAGGCATATACAGTTCAGAGGCTTTTCACAAAGTGGAACCTTCACACTCAGATCCAGCAACTAAAACAACTGACAACCCGAATCCCCCTGGGGTCCCTACCTGCCAGTCGTGAGCCTTAAATGAGACCATTATTGTGACTTCCAGGCTTTCCAGGTAGCTCAGGGTTAAAGAACCCCCCTGCCAAGGCAGAAGACACAAGAGTTCGAAGCAGAGTTCAGTCCCTGGACCGGGAAGATCCCCTGGGGAAGGAAATGACAACCCACCTCAGTACTCTTACCTGAAAAATCCCAGGGACAGAGGAGCCTGGCGGGCTACAGTCTATGGTGTTGCAAAGAGTCGGACACGACTGAGCACGCACGCATTGTGACTCCTATCACACCGCAAATGAGTCTGGCAGTCTCTGTTCTCAACATAAATGGAATCATACAAAATGCATCCTTTTGTGTGTGGCCTCTTTCCCTCAACATTATCTCGAGAGGCAAGAGTGCAGTCATCTGCTCTTTCTGCCCTCCCTGTCTGTTTCTTTCTTCATAGTATTCCATTGTGTGATATGCTTATTTCACAGGACAAGCATATGGGCTGGTTCCAGTTTGCGGCTGTTATGGTTAATGCTGCTACAAACATTCTTGCACATGTCTTTTGACACCCAAATGGACTAATTATCTGTTGGGCATACACCTAGTAAGAAAGACAGTGTGGTATGAACTAAAGAATAGGCAAACAGAACCAAACTAACAAAATAGACTCAGAAAAAATCCACACATAAAAAGTCTTTTGATAGATGACAATGGGCTGATGGAATGCAATGGGGGAAAACGGTATTTTCAAATAAATGGTGCTGGCTAAATTAATTGGATGCTTACATAGAAAGAAAACTCTTGACCCCTACCTCATGCCATAAAAAAAACCCAAAAAATTTCAGATAGATTGGAGATCTAAATTTGAAAAATAAATTTTCTAAAAGTTAAATGAATATCTTCATGGTCTTAAATATCTTAAATAGAACACAAAAAAAATGACAACCACAAAGGAAAATGCTGGTAAACTGGATTTCACTAAAATTAAGAACTATTATTCATTAAGAGGGGCTTCCGTGGTGGCTCAGGTGGTAAAGAATCTGCCCGCAATGTGGGAGACCCAGGTTCGATTCCTGGACAGTAAGATTCCCCTGGAGGAGGGAATAGCAACCCACTCCAGTATTCTTGCCTGGAGAATTCCACAGACAGAGGGAGACAGAGGGGCCTGGGAGGCTACAGTCCATGGGACTGCAAAGGGTCAGACACTACTGAGCAACTGGCATTCATTAAGAAGTATCCCTTAAGACAGTGAAAAGAAATGCCACACACTAGAAGAAATTTTCAGTATACATGTGACACAAAAGGCGTTGCTAGAAAATGTAAAGAAGTCCTACAAATCAATTTTTTAAATATGAAAACCCAATTTTTTAATACGAGCAAAAGACTTGAATAGGCGTTTTACAGAGCAAAATATACTAATGGCCAAGAAAGCATATGAAAAGTTGTTCAACATCATTCGTTATCAGGGAGATGCAACCTAAAAGCCAGTGAGCAAAAATTAACTCAAAATGGATCAGAGACCTAAATGGAAGACCTGACCCTATAAAACCCTTAGAAGAAAACACAGGCAAAAGACTTTTTGCCATAAATCACAGATCTTTTTTGATCCACCTCCTCGAGTGATGAAAATTAAAACAAATATAAACAAGTAGGATCTAATTAAACTTAAAAGGTTTTGCACAGCAAAGGAAACGGTAAACAAAAAAAGATAACCCTCAAAATGGGACAAAGTATGCGCAAAAGAAGCATCCCACAGGAACTAATCTGCAAATTACACAAACAGCTCACACAGCTCAATATCAAAAACACAAATAACCCAGGCAAAAAACTGGGGGGAAGACCTAAACAGACATTTCTCCAAAGCAGACACACAGATGGCCAACAAACACACGAAAAAATACTCAACATCTCTCATTATTAGAGAAAGAAATGCAATCAAAATTATAAGGTGGTATCACCTCACACCAGTCAGAATGGCCATTATTAAAAAATCTACAAACCATCAATGCTAGAATGGGTGTGGAGAAAAAGGAAGCCTCCTACACTATTGGGGAGAATGTACATTGTGCAGCCTCTATGGAGAGCAGGATGGAGGTTCCTCAAAAAAAAGCCTAAAA